AATTGTGTTGGAAGCGTGGTCGAGTCGGCAAAAAGCTCATGGTTGATAAATTCGAAAAAAGTCTCGAGTTCAAACCCACTGGCAGATAAATCTCGATCCCCTTCAACACTAATAATTAAGAACGAAGAAGAAGAAGAAGAAGATTGGCTTTAATATCAAAATTTTGAAACTTCTTTTTTTTGGACACTAGATTATTTATTGTGATATTAAGGAGTTACGAAAAACTATTTAGTAGAAATACGGTTGAAGAGATAAATGTTTATTTTTTATAGCTAGACTGTGGTTTAAAATCAATGCATTGGAACAGAGCTAACTTATAAAACAACAACATAAACAATGTTTTAAATGATGAAGGATGATAGCTGCCTGTTAATACTATCTGACGTCTGTTTTTTTGTCAGTGAAAAAAATCTCATTTGTTTATGATTAAAATAAAAAGAATTTTTATGCTTTTAGAAAAAAAAAAAAAAAAAAAAAAAAAAAAAACGAAGTATAGAGAAAGTCTAATTTTTATTTTTTCTTTATATTTAGACGTTTTGTATAAGATCTATGTATAAGTAAACCATCTTAAATGAATGCAAGTAGGTTACAAGTGAGAAAGAAATATTACTATTGTAAATCTGTATCAGTCCTCACAAGCCGATGATGAAAACTGTAATACTAAAGCGAACACACAACTGACGCTATAAATTACGTGTCTGAGGCAAGCAAAAAAAAAAATAAAAAAAAAAAAAAAGAAGTATAGAGAAAGTCTTGTTATCGTGCAAAAAAAAATCGAGAATTTTGCGAATCTCGACGTTTTACACCTCACTTATACGGAAAAACATAATTTAACAATCTTGTCCATATGTCCGTGTGTCTGTCTGTGTGTGTGTAAACACGATAACTTGAGTACCGTTACAGCTAGGTTGATGAAATTTCGTATATAAGTATTTTATCAAAATCGTGAATCCTGATCAACTTTTGAGCGATTTCCGATAACCGGAAGTGGTACTTTTTCTACTTTGAAATTTTCAAAAGCCTATAACTTGAGTACTATTTCAGATAGATAAATGAAATTTCACATGTAACTAAAAGATCTATTACTCTACCTTCTGTTAAATTTTGAGTAATTTCCGTTGACCGGAAGTACTAATTTATGCTATTTCCGACTTCTCAAAAAAACGCATGTAAATTTATTAAGTACTAATAATATCCCGCACTATTATGCACATTTTATTAGGCGTTCACTTGGTGTGCAATTCTTTTTTACAAGATTCTATTCTGTTATAAAAAGTTTAAGTAATTAAAAATGGATTACAAATATTAAATATTAAAAGTATGAATTAGTGGAAACTGACGGACGAGAGTTTGGCGACCTTTAAGAGAGAAAAAAAAAATAATGCCATTAAAAATTGAGTAACTCGGCATCATAACAAATTAGCATTGCAAATTTTAATTAACCAAATTTCACACTATTTTGAATCGATGTTACAACTTTGATTTTAACAAGTAATCGATAATTGTACAAAAATGTGGATATCGATTGGTGTGGTGTGGGTGTGGCTGGTGTGTGGCAAGGTGAGGGTGTGGTTAGGTTGTGACTTTGATGATGTGGTTATGATGTGACGAGGTGTGACGGATGTGGTGATGATGTGACGAGGTGTGACGGATGTGGTGATGATGTGACTAGGTGTGACGGATGTGGTGATGATGTGACGAGGTGTGACGGATGTGGTGATGATGTGACGAGGTGTGACGGATGTGGTGATGATGCGACGAGGTGTGACGAATGTGGTGATGATGTGACGAGGTGTGACGGATGTGGTGATGATGTGACGAGGTGTGACGGATGTGGTGATGATGTGACGAGGTGTGACGGATGTGGTGATGATGTGACGAGGTGTGACGAGGTGTGACGAGGTGTGACGGATGTGGTGATGATGTGACGAGGTATGACAAGATGTGGTGATGATGTGACGAGATGTGACGGGACTGGTGATGATGTGACGAGGTGTGACGCGGTGTGACGGATGTGGTTATGATGTGACGAGGTGTGACGGGTGTGGTGATGATGTGACGAGGTGTGACGAGGTGTGACAGGGTGTGGCAAAGGTATGGCGAAGGGGAGGCAAGAATGTAGGCGAGATATTACAGAAGTAAAAAACCCACTGGAAATTCTTTAAAAACTTGGATTTCTCGAACGTGATAGCGCTGAAATATCGCACCAGACGTCAACACTATTTTTTTTACTGAGATACGTAATCCGTCCGTTGTTGTTTCCATGGTTACGCGCGGTAAACAGCACCGCGCTCACGTGACCAAACACAGACACCCGTCACCGTGCTGCTGTGTTATGTGCGGATTTATGATTATGTACAGCTACAGTACACAGACACTACAAACAAACGGAACAACATACACACACAGCCACAACGTTGTTTGATGGAGGTAACTGGTTGTTCAAATACCCCACACAGACCGGACAAACAACATTGATACCCAAATATTGTCTGAGATAAGACAGACACAGACATTGATACCCAAATATTGTCTGAAAAAAGACAGACACAGACATTGATACCCAAATGCTGTCTGAAAAAAAACAGACACAGACATTTATACCCAAATATTGTCTGAAAAAAGACAGACACAGACATTGATACCTAAATATTGTCTGAGACAACACAGACACAGACATTGATACCCAAATGTTGTCTGAGACAAGACAGACACAGACATTGATACCCAAATATTGTCTGAGACAAGACAGACACAGACATTGATACCCAAATGTTGTCTGAGATAAGACAGACACAAACATTGATACCCACATATTGTCTGAAACAACACAGACACAGACATTGATACCCAAATGTTGCATTAGATAACACAGACACAGACATTGATACCCAACTATTGTCTGAGTTACCCTGACCACTCCAGCCATTGATGTCCAGCTGGGTTAAGGATGCTCTCGCTAGTCTCCTCACGAGCGATACACACGGTGAGACAACAAAGAATCCAATTTCTGGGAGCGTCTGTGGTGGGACGTTAAGATAATGTAGTACTCACCACACACTGAAGGAGGCCTGTGGGGGTGGGGGAAGTATTTTACCCACCCTCGGACCTGAAGTAGGGCTGGGGGTGACCAGAGAACTCTTTGTTGACACAACTATTTTACGGCGGGGGTTGGGGTGTTTATTATGGGGTGGAAGTGTTTGTGTTTAGAGAATATAATACTGGCCTAACAGTCTAGGGTAGTGTGTGTGTATGTTGGGGGTGGGGGGGGGGGGTTCAGAGAATATAGTGGTGACAAAACGGTCAAGGGTAGGTGGGGGAGAATACTTAAGAAAATTGATTGCCCAACAGCCAAGGTCAGGATGAGGGGACTTTTTAGACAATAGAATACTGGTCCAAAAGTCTAATGCAGATTGAGTATGTGGGGGGGGGGGGTGGCTGTGGCTGTGGTGGTGGGGGTGGGGGTGGGGGTGAGAGTGGTGGGGTGGGGGTGAGAGTGGTGGGGGTGGAAGTGTTAGCGGTGGCGATGGTTGTTATGGTGGTGGTGGTCGGGGGTGGTCGGGGGTGGTGGGAGTGTAGTGTGTGTGCGAGCAACATAGCACTTTAGGTTTATTGTATCATAAGCTCATTATGGGGGGGGGGGGGGGGTTAAAGATTACAAAATACATTAAACTCACACCGAAGTCTCATGTATAGCTCGGTTGTGTGTGTGTGTGTATTTGTGTGTTTCTGAGAAATCCATTAGCATCATATACGTGAGGCTCATTTTTATCGTAAAGTTTGTGTGAGAGCGGAGGGTTGCGTGTTGTTGTTTCATTATTGTTAGCCTCTATGCTACATAAGACCAACACAAAGTTGGCGCTTCTAACTGGGGTGGGAGGTAAAAGTAAGAACCATATCTTGTAAAAACCAGACTGAGTATTCCGAAAAACCAATGCTTGATACCTCTAGTGTGCCACGTGAATACATTCAGCTGCCATAAGCTTAGAACACCAGCCATACAAAAGGTTCATATTGCTACCCAGGGCACACAAAAATCCTTCTGTATAAAGTTGTCTAATGGTGTTTGGTAGCCTCACATTCATAACCACGCCCCAGTTACCATAGAAACGACCACATCAACAAACAAATAATCACACTTTTTAATTAAGAAACTCCAGTGCTGTTGTTGTTGTTTAATTTAAGTCAAATTATTTCCATGTTCAGATATTATGAACTTCAAAAGCTTATTTAATATTTGTTTTGTTTTTGTTTGTTTTCTTTTAAAAAGCCCAATTATTTTGGGTGAAACACCATCTTTAATGGGAAATGTTTTTAAAAAAGAAGCATTAAAAACATAGAACAAACAGTATTTATTAAAACTTATGAAGATTTTTACCGAAACAAAAGAATATTCAATGAAAATATCAAAGATGTATTGACTGTAAAGGAGATATACATTTTATGAAGAAAATGTTAATGATATATCACTATTCGCCCTTATAAAGCTCACAAGATGATTTATAAATGACCACCATTATATAAAATTTTATAAAATTAAATGCACCGTGTCATGTAGCACAAAAAGTGAAGACAACTCGATATATACAAGTTTTACATTTACAAAGTCAACTTTGGCAAATTTGCCCATTTAAAAAATTGAAGTTGGTTTTGTAATAACGTAAGTATATGTTTACGTCAATATACAACCAATCAAATGTAAGTGCATTTGATGTAGTTATTGCAAACGTAAAAGTATTTTGGTGTTATTCCCTCCCGTTTTCGTGTAGTTTTACTGCTGTTGTTCACGATTTGGCGAGTCACAACCGGAAGTGAAATTATTTTCCCGGCATCCCTTCCTTGAATGCCGCCATTCCAGGTTCCAGACGTCAATGCCAGAATTGCTCGCGGGGAAATGGAACCCCGAGATAAAAGTCGCCATGATTTACGAGCCGGGGCGCTGAGGGCCTGACCCCCCCCCCCCACCCCAAACTTGACTGGCCCCACCCCCTCTATCTAAACTTCACTGGAGCGAATGGAATCGTGTCTTACGCTGGATCTTCCGTTTAACAGTTTCCGGTCATTGAACGGATCCGGAAATATATCCGGCTATCTCGCATGTCTGTATCGGCCGTGGTTTGCATTGACATTGGGGAGGGGATGTCATCTCAAAAGTCATGACGTAGATATCATCACATGGATGTCATTACACGTATTTCTGTATACATCAGTGTCGCTGTGACATAAGGGGATGTCATCTCACAAATGTCTTGACATAAATGTCAACACATCGATGTCATTACACGTATTTCTGTATCCACCAAAGCTTGCAGTGCAATTACAGAATGTCATATTACGAACATCATCATCACACAGATGTCATCCCACTGATACCATTGCACGAATGTCATCAGACGTATGTCAAATGTCAGGCTGACAACGTAGCCATAACTCTGTGACATGGATGGATGCAAATGCTGCCGACGAACAAAACACCAGACCAAGTATCTCCACCATCTGGTGAAACAAAATTGGGCTGTACACGGTCCTTGCACCCCACATCAAGCAGACACGCTCATGTTCCGCAAACCTCCCCCGAACTGAAACCGATGGTCTTCCCCACTCTCGGGGTGACACAGGTACCGCCTGTCCTCCCTATAGGGGTGAGGCTCCGGCCCGTCCACGGGGATCTTGTCCTCTAGGCCCGGGATGATGCGGGCCATGTCCTCGAACTTTGAGTTCCGCTTCAGGAAGAGGGTCACGGTCACCACGGCCGCCATCTCCGAGGCCAGGAAACCAAAGCCGGCGGTGAAGAATGACCAGCCATAGGCGTAGCTGAACCCCACTTCAGACCTCTGGATAAAGATGAAAGAAATGTCACAACACCTGGTTACACAATAGGAGATGATGTTATTACTCTACGTTGTATCTAAACAAGTATATATTTATATATTTATATATATATATATATATATATATATATATATATATATATATATATATATATATATATTAACTATATAAGGTATATAGACATATATATATAAATATATATAAATATATATAAATATATATATATATATATATATATATATATATATATATATATATATATATATATATATATATATATATATATAACGCTGTGCGCTCGCGTGTGTGTGTAAGTTTTTGCATGTTTATGTGTTTCAAAATCTGTCGTAAAATAATTGCCCATATCAATAAATGTCAATAAAAATATATATATATCTTAAACTGATTGCAAAAATCTTAATATGCCTCTTTAAAAGAAAACCCAAATCACGCTATTTTTGACGTAAAGCAATATTTCATAAACGCTAATTACTTGGCATTTTTAGTGAATCTTGATTGCTTTTTAATTACTTTTTGTAGAACTGTTTCGTTTTTCAAACAAAAAAACAAACTTACAAAACGAAAAAGAAAATCACATTTTGGCTCGCGAAATCTGAAAAATCTGGCAACATTTTGTCTTGTTTACAAGTACGCAGATCCGTGTTTGGTATTCGGCCATGATTAAAAATAGTTCTCGAAGTTTCTCATCATTTTTCAGTGTTGAGAAGACAATCTCGCGTCCCAATGATTCATCATGAAAACGGAAGCATACGCGAGGAACTATTTTTTTCATCCACAGATCAATAAACAAAATCATTATTTTCTTCATCTGATGGCTGCACCATGTTGATTGATGAACGCGGAGGGATACAAAACGATCAAAATCATTCGTTATCCGTCACCCAGTACTCATTGCTCAATCATCTCCAACTATAAAAGCAATACTTTAATACAAATATTCCCTGAAAATCGAATTTTATTTTACACTATAGGCCTACATTTGTATATTTCTACTGAACATCTCAAACATAAATTAGTAATTACCAATTAGAACTATTTTTCGAGTATGACGACAAAAGGTAGCAAAAGACCAAACTACTTACGCTAGTTGATACCCTGTACCCAACCTCATCGTTGATGGCAGAGATGTAGAGGATCATACCTACAGCCAGTGAAAGACCTGTGGATAATAGACAGGTAAGTTACGGGCAAAGACCTTCAGAGTATAAAGACGTAAGTTACGGGCAAAGACATGTGTTACAGCAAGGGAAAGACCTGTGGATAATAGAAAGGTAAGTTACAGGCAAAGACCTTCAGAGTATAGAGAGGTAAGTTACGGGCAAAGACAGGTGTTACAGCAAGGGAAAGATCTGTGGATAATAGACAGGTAAGTTACAGGCAAAGACCTGGAGAGTATAGACAGATGAGTTACGGCCCTCGAAAGACCCAAGATGTATAGACAGGTAAGTTACAGCCAGGGAGAGACCTGTGGATAATAGACAGGTAAGTTACGGGCAAAGACCTGGAGAGTATAGACAGATGAGTTACGGCCCTCGAAAGACCCAAGATGTATAGACAGGTAAGTTATAGACATGCAAAGACCTAAATAGTATAGACAGGTAAGCTACAGGCACTCAAAGACTTTCTGAATATAGACAGGTGTGTTACACGCAGAGAATGACACAGAAACTAGTTACACGGCTTACAACTCATAAATAAAAGATGCCATTCAATTAGGACCTGACGCCAATCCATTAATTTTAATATTAGACAAAAGCCATTATCAGATTTATCGTAATCTACATTTAGGCTGTCACTTCACAAATAGGAATTGTTTATAAGACAGTCGTAATGATAAATTGACCTACATTTTCTGCAAAACGGTTTTGTTTCATCATTTGATTCAATAGCTAAACTATCATAGCTTATTTGAGTGTAAAAAGCAAGAAGTCAACTTTTAGAAATTGGTGTCATATTGTCCTAGTGTATAAATTAACATATGACATACCCACCAAATGAAACACAAACTATTGACATTAAAGCCATAAGATAGGGCAGTATTTCAAAAACGGCCAACGTCTGCAACTGATGTCAACATCGTCCAAATCAACACAACACAACACACACCTTAATAGCTTAATGACCATTTCAACACAACACAACACACACCTTAATAGCTTAATGACCAACTTAACACAACACAACACACACCTTAATAGCTTAATGACCATTTCAACACAACACAACACACACCTTAATAGCTTAATGACCATTTCAACACAACACAACACACACCTTAATAGCTTAATGACCAACTTAACACAACACAACACACACCTTAATAGCTTAATAACCAATTAAACACAATACAACACACACCTTAATAGCTTAATAAGCAACTGAACACAATACAACACACACCTTAATAGCTTAATAACCAATTAAACACAATACAACACACACCTTAATAGCTTAATAAGCAACTGAACACAATACAACACACACCTTAATAGCTTAATAAGCAACTAAACACAATACAACTCACACCTTAATAGCTTAATAAGCAACTGAACACAACACAAACCTTAACTATTCACTAACCCACGCAACACAAGACAACAAACCGTAATTACTTAATGACCAGCTGTTAAGCAGTCAGGACAGACAACCCATCTAATCAACACACAACTCCCTACAAAACAAACTTCAACTCACAAACCAACACACATCTTAACATCTTAAAACAAAAGTCAACGACCTCCTATTTAATAACTTCTCATCCCAGCAACCAACCGAAGAGTGTTAACAATAACCCTAATCCCCTACGCTAATCCTGTTAAGCCCGGACGCTAAACTCTAATCAATACGAAGACCCGACTAGCAAATCTCGTGTTGGCTGCTCCAGGCTAATTTTAGCCACAACAAATTTTTTAAGTGCTCACCCGCACATCCTGTGGTGGGGCGTGCGGCACTATTTGTACAATCTAGCGATACCCCGCCGTAATGGCCGTAGATCAATACAATGGACAACGCACGGTAATGGGCCAGCGAAAATAGAGTCGGATTTTTTTTTTCTTTCCGGCGTGATTGTTTGTTTGGGTTTGTGTTAAGAAAATGATAAATTCTGTTCTGTTTTTGTTGTGTTTATGTTAAGAAAATGATAAATTCTGTTAAGTGTTTGTTGTGTTTATGTTAATAAAATGACAAATTCTGTTCTGTTTTTGTTGTGTTTATGTTAAGAAAATTATAATTTCTGTTCTGGTTTTGTTAGTTGTGTGTTAAGAAAATGATACATTCTTTTAGTTTTTTTTGTTGGGATTGTGTTAAAAAGATGCCTGGAAGAAACTGATAGTAAATGGTTCTCGATTATTATTAAGAATGGCGATTTCTTTTGTAAAAACGTGAAAATACCACTGAAATATGTTTTGTGAGTTGTTCTTGGTGGTTCTTCGTTTTCGATTTTTTAATGTTGTCAAAGATCCCCTCCAACACAATAAGTTATTACGTGTACAATAAGTTATTACGTGTCAACGTGTTACGTTGACTCCGTTTTCAGCTTTTTTTTTTTTTTTGGATTAGCTGTCCAGCCGAGAGCAAACTACAAGGCAGTTGTTGTTTTGGAGTTGACCCCCAGATATCGAGCCTATTCTGCCCGAGGGTTTGAACTCGAGACGTTTTGGTTTAGCAATCATGAGCTTTACCGACTCGACCACGACGACCCCAGTGGGTGGCAATTTTGGATTGATAAACAATGATGTCGTTTCAGAGTTTAAATACTGATTTAATTAGTCGGTGATGTGGGTTCGAATCCTGGTGTAATCAATCAGGTTTCGAATACTGGTTTAAATGTTAGGGGTTAGGGGTTCGAATACTGGTTTAAATGTTAGGGTTACGGGTTCGAATACTGATTTAAATGTTATGGGTTACGGGTTCGAATACTGGTTTAAATGTTAGGGGTTAAGGGTTCGAATACTGGTTTAAATGGTAGGGGTTGGGGGATCGAATACTGGTTTAAATGTTAGGATTAAGGGTTCGAATATTGGTTTAAATGTTAGGGGTTAGGGGTTCGAATATTGGTTTAAATGTTAGGGGTTAGGGGATCGAATATTGGTTTAAATTTAATGAGATTCAGGGTTTAACCCATTTATGTGGATCTCAAAGTTGTCCATTTCACTAGCGACCTATCGTTGAAAGACTAATTTTTATGGCACCAGTAATGAAATAAAGTTGGTTCACAAAGGAGCATCCGTCATAATAAGATGTTTAGGACAAAAACTATGGTTATAAAGTTTATAGAGTTACCTTTCTTTTACCAGGGGTAGATAACTGTAGATAAAAAAAGCTACAAAAACAAAAAGAATAAAAATGAAAGCGAGATTGAGAGGAAGAGATGAAAAAGGATGGGGAGGTGTGAAGTGTAGCACAGACAAGAATAAAGTTCAAAGGGACGAAAGTATATTGTAACATATATTTGATGATAAGAGATTGACAAAGTTCAGAATAGTGTAAAAAACCGCATTGTTGTGGGAGCAGTTTAAACATCCCGGTGGACTGCTATAGATCAAGGGGGTCATTCATTAGTCTTATCATGGCGCCATGTCTTTTAGTGACCCCCCTATGTTAGAGGGTCGGGGCAGGTTGGTCCCAAGGGTACACTATCTGTATGTTAAGTGGCCAGAAGCGAACGTATGTGCTATTAGATAATACATCAGCAGACTGCCTTGTCTCCAACTGAGGGACAACATTGTGTTGGTCAATAAGTGCAATATATATATATATATATATATATATATATATATATATATATATATTGCACTTATTATATATATATATATATATATATATATAACTGTACAAATGATCTCAGACAAAATATCCCAGACAAAATATCTCAAGGAAGAAATATTTCAGGACAAATGTTACCACTTACAGTATAAAGAGCACACCACTACCACCACCAGATGACACCACCAACACCACCAGATATCACCACTAACACCACCACTCACCAGACAGTATAAAGAAGACACCACCAACACAAGATGACACCACCACCACCACCAAAACCACCAGATGACACCACCGCTCACCAGACAGTATAAAGAAGACACTACCTACACCACCAGATGACACAACTAACACTAGATGACACCACCACCACTACCACCACCAGACACCACTAACACCACCACTCACCAGACAGTATAAAGAAGACACCACCAACACAAGATGACACCACCTACTCCACCAGATGTCACCACCAACACCACCAGATGTCACCACCAACATCACCAGATGACACCACTACCACCACCAGACACCACGAACACCACCACTCACCAGACAATATAAAGAAGACACCACCGACAACACCACCAGATGACACCACCAGACACCACTAACACCACCACTCACCAGACAGTATAAAGAAGACACCACCGACCAGCGTCCTGGCATCTTTCCTGATGTTGCCGACGACGGTGAAGATGACGGCGATGACGGAGAGGATGAGTGACGACACCGGAAGTGCTACAGACCTGCGAGCAGCCGCTGAAAAAAAAATGACAGAGGTCAGAGGTCGTGGGAGTAAAGGTCAAGTCCGTTGAAGAAATGTCAAAGCATGTCAAATGACACTTAAAATGCCACCCTTAGTGTACCTCTGACTAAACTGATATTGTTAACGGTAACTGATAGTCAGATTATGTGAATAAAAATGCATAAATTTAAATGCCCATTGTTTATTTATATTTTGCTTCATCGTTCGTAACAACCCGAATTCGAGGTTCTATGTTAGTCTAAATCTAGCCAGTGGAGAGGCTTGGCGAATTTTCTAGACAAGTCTAGGTGGGATTTACCTTTAAATATTAATTTAAAGTTGAAATTATCGAAGTTTATTATTGTAATCGAATAAAATAACGTGCCGGGCTTAAGCTAAGGAAATATATCCCATTTTAAAAACTCCGGTCTTACCACTGAAGGAAATAAGAATTGCAAATTAAAAAAAAAAAAGAAAATGGAAAATTTCTCACGGAAATTGTGAATTTGCTCAAACGAAACATCACTCAACCTAGTTCCGGCAAACAAGGTAGGGGTGGGTAATGGGAGGGGGGGGGCACGTTAACTGACCAGACTCCATAGCATTGTTCGACTAAAAAAAACATCGCTAGCTTCGATCTGTTACAACTTCCTCGTTGAAAAAACTCTTGAGATATTTGCCTTTACGGGGTCATGAGTTCAAACAACTCAAAAAAAGTCAGCATTTTCCGATTTTCTTGTAGCGTATCGTTTTCGTTCAGATTTATCACGCTGACGTCACGAGCTATGTATAGAAATCAGTCACGTGCTAGGATGTGACAGTATGTATTATCTGGGCTAATCGAAGCTGGATGGGGGATGGAGGAGGGGGGGGGGAGCCCCTCACTACAATTGTTCAGCGTTCAGTTCCCAGCTTATTTGTCTCTATAAGAATGACTGGGGCAAAAAAAAAATGGTTGATCCACGTTCTTTCTAGCGTGATTTGGGATAGGTCTGTTTTCTTTAAGGGGATATGCTCCGTTTTTTTCTTCTATTTTTTACAATTTAAGATCTAAAGCCTTTTGAGTACTTTTATCATGTTTTGCACATGAAAGTTAGTATTAAACAGCAAAAAAGGTTGAAAAAAAATTTGGTTGTCATGGAAACCCAAAAAAAAGCCTCCGCAATTTTGAATTTTTAGGCACTTTTAAAAATGCTATAGCTTTTTTATTTATGCACTTATAGCAATCAAATTTAAACTGCTTATATATCAGTATAATATATTAAAACTTTTGTCACGACAACTTTTTCAAATAGCTACTAATGAGAATTTTACAAGTTCTAAAAAAAATCCTACCCTTTTTAGTATTCAAAAGTTTCAAAATTTGCATATTATTTACCATATGTTTTTTTTTCTATAAACGCCATCACAATTCCCTCGTGACAAATACTTTCATCTACAACATGGAGTTCATGTACACCTTCAAGTTCATCTACACGACCAAGTTCTTGTACACTTCCAAGTTCATGTACACCTCTAAGCTCATTTACAACATCAAGTTAATGTTCTCTTCCGTATTCACCTACAACATCAAATTAATGTACACATCTAAATTCAAGTACACCTCCAAGTTAATGTACACCTCCAAGTTCATGTACACCACTAAGTTCATGTGCAACTCTAAGTTCATCTACAACATCAAGTTCATGTACACCACTAAGTTCATGTACACCTCCAAGTTCATGTACAACATCAAATGAATGCTCTCCGCCAAAGGGAGACAACTCAAGCGAGCTATAATTAGATCCAGATGCGGGGTGTTGGGGCACAAAGCCATAGTTTGACCACGGTCTGGGGCCGGCAAGTCTCATAGGGCTTGGGTGCCGCCACTAATTAGGGAAACTTCCAGAACGGAGACGAAAGAGCGTTCTGCGAAACGTGTGTGGGCACGGGGTGAGGTCTGAGTACCTTGTAGTGTTGATTGGGGGTGGGGTAGGGGGTGGGGTAAGGGTGAGGTCTGAGTACCTTGTAGTGTTGATTGTGGGTGGGGTAGGGGGTGGGGACTGAGTACCTTGTAGTGTTGATTGTGGGTGGGGTAGGGGGTGGGGTCTGAGTACCTTGAAGTGTTGATTGTGGGTGGGGTAGGGGGTGGGGTAGGGGGGTGGGGTTGGGGGGTGGGGGTCTGAGTACCTTGTAGTTGTGGGTGGGGTAGGGGGTGGGGTAGGGGGTGAGGTCTGAGTACCATGTAGTGTTGATTGTAGGTGGGGTAGGGGGTAGGGTAGGGTGTGATGTCTGAGTACCTTGTAGTGTTGATTGTGGGTGGTTGAGGTGGGTAGGGGTGGAGTAAGCCAAGGGACGAATCTCATTATCAGTTGATTTATTAAACACGTCTGTAAGTATACACGAACAGCTATGGTGTCTGGAGTGGACGGGGAGGTTAAGTGATAGTGGGGACGAGAACAATCTCACGTATTGATTCAGGGTACTGAGTTCACCCAGCTCCTATGAGTACCTGACTCGAATTGGGGGAAATCAAGGCTATATTAGGCAAAGTGTTGAGCACAGAATTTCTTTATATTTCGGTGTAAGGAACCTCTCTCTGTATACGGTCATTAGCTGCCCTGGTTTTCGCTAATTAGCCAGGCAGTGTGGTACAGGGTTAATTATCGAGCAGATCTCTCACTCATGTTACTAGCCAAGTAGGATCATATAAATAAATTATAGTGAATTTTACAAATACCGCATTATTTAAGGTACTCGTTTTAATTCTATGTCATTAGACTTTCTTCATACAGTTACTATCTATACACTTGATTATCGAATTATAATGTTCTACAAACTGTATAAAACTACAAGATAAATTTTAAAATTAATGTTAAAGAAAAAGAAAACAAAACCTTAAGCCTGGAGGATGGAGGGTTTGGCTATAGTTTGTTGAGAATAGTGTAGGATCGGTTGGGTTCTCTACGGGTGCAATATCGATACTTTCATGAATTTTATCGACCATGGTTTCTTTGTGAATTCTATTAAAATGATATCTAATAAAGCGTTTTCGGTTGATTTTATATTTTGAAAACAATTCTAAACTAATTTAAAATATTATTCAATTAGGGTGGGGTCCTTTTTTTTTTTGCCTCAGACATGTAATTTACAGCGTCAGTTGTGTGTGTTCGCTTTAGTTTTCATCACTGATACAGATTTACAATAGTAATATTTCTTTCTTACTTGTAGCCTACTTTCATTCATTTAAGATTGTTTACTTATACATAGATCTAATACAAAATGTCTAAATATAAAAAAAAAATTTTAAAAATTAATTTAAAGATCTAGGGAAAAACTGAAAATAGATCAACTTTCTGCTTACATACCCGATATTGTTTAATGATTGACGAAAGTAATAATAATTATTCTTTTCTGTTGACTTTGTCCCAAGAAGATAAAATACCATTTCAAACTGGGGGTAGGTATGTGTGTGTAGGGAGGGTGAGGGAATTTACGGTTCAGTCCGAACGCCGGATTTGTTGGCTACGCCTTTGCCTACAATAGCTCATCGAGTGGCTACTATCAGTGGCATAGGGATAAAAAGGAGCCGAGTGATCTCCCTCTACGTAGCTAGCAGTGGCCCAGGTGGTGATACCTAACAGGACAACATAGAGGTAGCACCAGTGTAAACGGGAGGTGCTACACAGAATGGTAACACCTATTGGTAACACAATGTGGTGACGCCAACATTTAACATTTCAATATTATATTACCGTAATGTTTTAAAAACTGCCAATAAAAACTTTAAAAAATAAATAAACTATAAAGTCTCGCGGTCTAAAAACATGGAGGGAATAAACTGCTGACGTCAGCTCCATGCAGGTGACGACCTTGACCTTGACTTACATATGATCGTGATGGACGTCAATCCGTACTGCTCCCCCCTGCCCGTGGCTGTGTCTTCGTAGCTGACACCCATACAGTTGACTTCATCTGGGGCTGTGAAGATGAGGTCAAAGTTCACGTCAAGTAGAGGGGGTGATGGGGTGATGGGGGTTGGGTGGGGGATGTGGCATGTTTGGAGTTCTTGGGTTTCAACGAGGTGAGGTTTTCGAAGAAATGAATTGAAGCGATTTAAGGATGAAGAGAAGGCAGTGTGTATTCTACGTCATCGTGTTAACTGTGTCAGTGTGTGATCTAAGTCAATGTGTGAACGTCGACAGACATTAGTAAATCTAATATCGTGTAAATTAGAACAGAGACAAGATATAATATTGATCTTTGAATAAGCGTATGTGTAAACGTAAACGTAAACGTATATATAAATACATGAATAAATAAATAAATAAATAAATAAATAAATATATATATATATATATATATATATATATATATATATATATATATATATATATATATATTTATATATATATATTTATATATATATATATATATATATATATATATATATATATATATTCCTTAATACGTGTATTTTTATGTGAGCATGCGCGCGTAAGCATGCTTGTGCGCCTCTGTGTGTGTGTATGTTTGTACGTGCGTTTAATCTTGTATGCGTGTGCATGCATGTGTGTGAGTACTCACTGGTCTCTGCCACCAAACAGAACCGCCACAAGCCCGTCCACAGCTTGAGCCACAGGGGCACGGTGTTGTTGACCGGCATGTCCGGGTACCCGGGGATGATCATCTTCTCCCTAGTGGTCAGCCAGAAGTCCGTGGACACGGCCAGCGAGAACAGGCCGACGGAGGTCCCACCCAGCACGAAGGACAGAACGGTCAGTTGGTACACCGTGAAAGGGCTCATGGTGCGGGTTGAGCATGGTTCAAAACGTCTTCAAGCGGCAGGGTCACCAAACACGCACTGAAATATACAAAGTGACCCTGTTATAATTACTGGGTAGCACTGTAATATTTATAAAACAACGCTGTAATATTTGCAACGGAGACACTGAAATAGACAAAGTGGCACTGTTATACGGACAGGGTGGCACCTAAATATTTAAAAGGAGGCACTGAAATATACAACATGGCACTGTTATACAAAAAGGCCCTGAAACATACAAAATCACATTGTAATGTTTATAACATAGCCCTGTAATATTTACGAAATTGCATTGTATTATTTACAAGGAGTCGCTGAAATATACGGCAATGTAATATTTACAAAATGGTACTTCTTTTTTATTTCTTATTCGGATTTCTAACGGTCAACATAAAAGTTAATATAATATGAAATTAACAAGTGGCAAATGAATATAACATTTCTAAAAAAATCTATTAAACTACTCAGTAAATGTGGGGGCTAATAAAACTACTGACTGTACTAACTCCAAAAGCACATAAAGAAAAATCTTGATTAAGAGATACTTGTTCAAAAAATTATTCCATTAAAAATAAATATTTTGAACAATTTTTACCCCCACCTCCTAGTATCCACGGTACCCGGTGCGCACTCCGCAATTTGAGCGATCCTATTTAAGTTTGTAAACAAATCAATTGTTTCCATAAGAAATAATTGACGACATTTCTCGAGTAAAATCAAACTTACAGCGTAATGCAAAATGACTGGAGTTATAATAAGACGTAGTATTTAGTAAAATAAATGTAGTTCCCATTAGCCCCGGCAGACAATGGGTACACACAGAGATGGCGCGGAACTTCACTATAAGAAGAGATCATGGTCTGCTTACGCCGCGTGTTCCATCCCTCGGCCTTGCCTGGTGGAGTCCAAAGAAAATATGTTAAGCTATACGTTTGCTAAAAACTTCGATAGCAGAAGCTAACGAAAGGAAACCGTTTTCTTAGAGGCTGCTTAAGTTTGATTTGGGAGATTTCTCTCTAAGATGGGTTACTTTCCCAAGCTAACTACCCGGGGGTTCGAACTCAGGAATATGGGTTAGCAACATTAAGCTCTCCTCATCGACTATGCCGTCTCCGTAAGCCAACTGCGCAAAGGAACGCAGTGATTATGTTAAATCTAAGTCTATAGTTATAGGTTTAATTATAACATAAGTAAATATAAGAGACAGTGCCATATATAAACCAATATGTAACGATAAGACGAAGAACTTATGTTATAACTAAACTTCTAAGTAAAGATGAGACGCAGTATTTATGTTATAACTAAATCTATACGACGCAGTATTTATGTTATACCATATAACTAAGTCTATAAGACGCAATATTTATGTTATAACTAAATCTATAAGACGCAGTATTTTTGTTATAACTCAATCTATACAACGCAGTATTTATGTTATACCATATAACTAAGTCTATAAGACGCAATATTTATGTTATAACTAAATCTATACAACGCAGTATTTATGTTATACCATATAACTAAGTCGATAAGACGCAATATTTATGTTATAACTAAATCTATAAGACGCAGTATTTTTGTTATAACTCAATCTATAAGACGCAGTACTACAACTAAACCTATTGATCACACACATTCTGACAACTGACAAACTCAAGATCTGCTATCTGTCTTTGAAAACACCACCGACTCCTCCACTCCCCCCCCCCCTACAACCACCGGCCTGTAGCTCTGTTTACTTTCTAAGTCCAACTAAATATTGCCGGACAGTCTTGCAACACGGTGCCAGATCCCGCCGTGGGATGCCGTACTTCTGACGTGTCTTGTCAATATTGAGTGTGTGGTCAACGTCTGGCCGGGGTCCAGTCCCAGGGAGCCCGGGCTAGGGAGATAAGAGCATTGGCTGGGACAAAGGGAATTCCATTACGGCGGGGACCCACCGCCTGGTGCCATTATCAGATGAGAAGCTTCGGCGTCCCTGGTTACCAAAACAAGGGTGTCCATTTTTTTTAAAGTGGGTAGGTGCGGTCTAGGTGGTCGATGGCTATGCTAAGTAACATAGGGGGAGGGGGGTGTTGACGGTCAAAGGAAATGTTTGACCAAAATCAAGCCACTTATATCGGTAACGTGACTAACTCTATTTCAACGGCAAGAATTGACCTTCAAGTACGAAAAAGGCTAGAACCTTGATGTAATACGATCTGAACCAACACAAGATTGAAAGGAAGATGAACACATAAACACAAAGATATCATCGGCTGGAAAAATAGAATATACGCTGATACTATTTGTCATACGCTTTGAAAAAACATAATAAATATATATATATATATATATATATATATATATATATATATATATATATATATATATATATATATATATATATATATATATATATATATATATCTGTATATATATATATATATATATATATATATATATATATATATATATATATATATATATATATATATATATATATATATATATATATATATATACTAGAGAAAAGTACAGACGAATGCCTCTAATCCCGAAGAGAACAATCTCCAATGTTCGATTGACCGCCTGTATTCTGTCATGTTTGCACGACGTCCCTAGGGACTAGAAACCCCCAGTAAATTTTATTCAGTTTTAGGTATTCACGCAAACAGTAAAACACCGAGGATTAATGGGAATTTTTTTTAAATATGGATGATTGTCTTGTAAGTAGCATTGGTACATGGGTATCTGTGTTGTCATGTCTTAATAGACACGTTCATCTTAACAGTAGCATTAATATACGAGTATCTTTGTACACACAACTTAAAGAATCCGCACGCCATGCATTGATGCACACGGATGAAAAACAGTTGCATGGCCCTGATTTCACTCAACAATACTTTCAATAAAAAAATTTGGTTTACAGCATACTTCTTTTTAAATGGGAAATTAAATTTCTTAATGCACAAAAAAAAAGAAAATCTAAAGCTATCACTCCTCGCTGTGCATTAAACACTTTGTATATACAATATATATATACAATATATATATATATATATATATATATATATATATATATATATATATATATATATATATATATATATATATATATATATAACAAATACCACATGTGATCCCACGGACAAAGACTGGCCACATGACCTATCAGTTTAAAGACCGACCACTCTGATTAAACGACGTTTGCCCATGATAAAGGCCCAGTTACCTCCCTCAATTCTTCGCTAATTGTCCCCCCCCCCCTCCCCCCAACAAAGCTATCGGGTCGGCTTGACCTGGGGACGGGATCAATACTAGACGTACCCCTGGCCTCCTTCGCTGCTAGACAAACTTCCCTTATCTGCTGACGATGTTTTTGTATTTTCGATATATTTGTGTCACTGTCGCCGATCTTTACAATGGAGCTTTCTATGCGGGGGGGGGGGGGGGGGACAAATTTTTTAATGGTTTAATTAATAATGTAAATATATATTAATCAGAGATAAATTAATTGATCACAATATAATTGTATTTAACTTACTAATAAAATTAACTCTAAGCATTAATGTTTTTTCTCTTTAACTTGGAAATTAAAACAATCTTCTAGATAAATTGGCATAACTTTTCATTACAATGTAAATGAACTTTTTAACGCAGAAGAGTTACATATTAAACTTTCCGACGGTTTTCATTTCATTACTTTGTGATACAAATTGGTATAGGTTATTTTGTGATAGACTTTGGGATTGGTTATATAATATGTGTACTCATTGTAATGGGGCATGTTGTCTAATTAGGTCATAGTTTGTCAAACTATTGCCAGTTCAAACGACCCAACCGGAAACGAACTAACCAGAGGTAGCCAATCAGGGCTAAGTTCAGGTTGTCGTGACTAGACAGGTGAAAAAGGCCCATTATGGGAGTCCCATAAAATACAAAGCGGGTCCCTTAAAATGTCCAGCAAGTCCCGTAAATTAACTAACTAGTCCAATATAATAAAGCAATAAAGTACACAGTAAGTTCTATAAAATACCCAAATGTATCCCATAAGATTCACATACATGCCAAATTAAATACGAAAATTTGTGCCAAATAATACCAAAAGGTGTTCCATAAGACATAAAAATGTGTCAAATAAAATACATGTGTCTTAAAAGTTACCCAAATATGGTCCTTAAAATACCAAAAAGTGTCTCACAAAATACCCACATGCGTTCCATAAAATATCCAAATGTGTCCCATAAAATACCAAAATATGTCCCATAAAATTACAAAATGTGTCCCATAAAATAACAAAATGTGTCCCATTACATTCCAAAATATGTCCCATAAAATACCAAAATGTGTCCAATAAAATTCCCAATAAATTTCACTCAATACCTGCATTAGAGTCTTTTCTTTTTACTCTTGCCAAAGGTTGATGTATTAGTCTGTATTTTTTGTTAGTTTTGCCATTACATATAAGACCATATATTGGGCCATTGATATAAATATCCTAAGGGTGTATTAGCAAAACTTGAGAAACATTATCCGACCAGGGTGCATAAAATGATTTAGGGGATGCTTAGCGGCAACCATGGTACATCAACGCATAAAACCACTCTGTATATCAGGGTACAAAACACATACACACAAAACCTTTAGGAAATCCCCGCACCTAACCACCCCATTTGCCCGGGTACACAAACACAAAGTCTTTAGGGAATCCCTGTACCCAAACACCCACATATACCAGGGTACTACCATAAAACTTTAGGGAATCCACGTAAAACTACACCCCCCCCCCCCCATATATCCGGGTACACAAATACAAAACATTTAGAGAATCCCCATAAAACTACCCCCTCCCCCCATATACTAGGGTACACAAACATAAAACCTTTAGGGAATCTGAGTACCCAACCACCCCCATATACTAGGGTACAACCATAAAACCTTTAGGGAATCCCTGTACCTAACCACCCCTTATACCAGGGTACACAAACATAAAACCTTTAGGGAATCCCCGCACCTAACCACCCCTTATACCAGGGTTCACAAACACAAAACCTTTA